AAAGACAGGGTTAATCATGCAGCTTTGTGCCATTCTCTGCCAACTCATTCATCTACCTCCTTTAAGACTTGTAYTTAACAGCCCAAACCAGGAATAGGTACAGCTGGAAGAAATGGTTACAACTTTGAAACTTGGATGAGATTTTTAACTCGAAAAGAGCCAGGAACATACATATGGAAACTCTTGTCCATTTCCAACAAACACTAATGAAGACCTTCCAACTATTAGCATTAAAAATAATCAGTCTGTCAAGGAAATGTCTCTTTCCCCAAACAGGGAAGGCTTCTCTCAAGCTCTCTTTCAAGTTTGCATGTGTTTGACAGTAGTGCTTAGTCACACATTTATGGGCTGCTGTCTTGARGGATGGAAATAAAAATTTCACATCTTTCCAAAGAGAAAGTTCCCTTTTCACCGTGACACATCATATTTAGTTCTAGCCCTGGAATGTTCCCACGTACCAGATAACTTAAAATTGCCTCTGAAGGAGCATATTGATATTTCCTTGTAAGGGTAATGGTTGTACTTGTGATATGAAGATACCTGGACTCACAGGCAGAAGGCTATAAAAACACTCACAACATGGTGAAAATTCATCATTKTGCATGGGAAATGACAACATAGAATGGAGGCCATCAGAAAACTGAACAGACCTTGGAAGGTAGAAAGCTTACCAGGGCTACTCGTGAAGGTYCCTAGCTCTGCCAATAATCTAAGGTGTGTCCTGAGGCATGTCTCTTCACCTTGCTTTGATTTCATTCTCCATCAGTAAAGTGAAGATAAGATGACATGWCGCTTTATGCAGAGCTTCAGGTGACAAATGCAACATAACTCCTTAGGCCAACTTACTGGGCATAGTAGGAGGTGTATAGCATACATAGTTTATTGTCTTCCTAGTTAAAAATAGCATGTAAGTTTGTTATACTCTTTCTRTCACCCCACTTCTGCATCTCTACAGCAGCTGGTTAAAGCACACTTTGTTTGTAAGCAAGATGTGGAAGAATCAACCTTCTATCTATATTAAGGATGCATAGCACTGTTCAAAACAAATCATTACTTTGAACAGCAATGGAAGAATCAGGATGCTTTCAAAATTGCAGTCATAAGAAAGAAAGCATTTATTGTAGCAGCTGACAACATACAAGCACACAAACCAAACAAAATAACGCCTACCTAGACTATTCACTCAAGGTCTGTGTCATGATTCTTTATGGAGGGGAAGCAAGAGGAAGTTTCTCTGACAATTGCTAGATTTAATCTTACTATATAGTTGCAGGACAGCACAGGGACTTAAATGTTAATTGTCTATAGTAGTTAAAAGGGAATTTTAGTGACCTACTGTTTCCCATCAGACTGGAGTCTTCAGAAAAAAAGTGAATGATAGTATATTGATTCAATTATGCTTCTAGCATGCAAATACATTTTGATTTGCTTGAGAACAGGAATACTTGGTGGGAACAACGATGGCACTACGCAACTTTCAGTGATTGAAGGGAAGCCTCATTTATTTTAAAATAACCTCCCAAGCTATCCACTTTTAAAATCATAACAAATCTGGCATGTCTTACTTGACTTTAACAGCTGAACACTTGGCTTGGGATATGTGGGTCACTACTTTCACACTCTATAATGTGAAGGCAAACTCGTGGTCTGCTTGGGATTTCTTGGGACTCTTACAGATATCCAGAAAATACTTCAGAAATCATAGGAGATCCTGTTAGATTTCCCTAAAACTCAGGTCATAGCTCCTGTCAATGCTCATTTCTCTAACAGTAAGCATGAAAAGCTATGATCAAATAACCTAGATTGTTATTTACAATAATGTGATGAGCAAAAAGCCCAAACCCATACTCTAGATTCTTATGTACCTGGAAAACTATTTACAAACCTTTAATTTACTTCTCTTCGACTGCAATTTCAGCCATTTTGTGATGGGATGGAAACTTTATTTTTCCCAAACATGGCCAAATGGCATTTTTAGCTCTTTCAGTGCTCTCACAGCTCTAGTTCCACTGAAATTACKGTTAGTCTGGATTTCCATTGCTGTGACAACAAGCAGATCATGTCTGCCTGTGTACAACAGACTCAACAGACTGAAATATGAATGGAAAATGGGGTAAGAATAGAAGTCAATACTACCTGATTTAATGTTACTGCAGAACACCCTTGGGTAATGCTCAGGATACAGAAGGAGAGGTACTTAGGAGGGAGAATAATGAAAATTTAAGTGTGAGGACATACAGAGAGATATTTTCACATGTTATTTTCCTAGATAACCTTTTATGTGGTTCATCCTAAGTACAAGATGGCTTGCTGAAAGCTAAAATATCTTCTTCCCCTGCCTTGATAATGACTTTGGCAAAAGAAAAAGACCACACATGGGAAGTGGCAAAACCAAGTATSTAAGTGATTAGAAATGTTTATATTAGATGAAGAGCTGCAATTTCAGGAAGGAAAGGAGCCATACCCTCAGGGGCACAATGATTTTAAAATCCTAGAAGACCAAGAAGTGTAGATGAGGCAAAAGCTATTTGGGGGGAAAAAAACGCACCCTTCCTTATTCCAAGAAATCAAAGAGGAAACAATTAGGCAAAACAAAAATCACAACAAAAAGAAAAAACCKCTCTGAAAAGAGCAATACTGGTACCCCTATTCATCAGCACTGAGAGAAATTATACATCACAGCTTGGTCTCTAGAGCCACAGTGGATAATTGCCCAGTGCCCCCTCTTCCTTCTCCTCCATTCCACCAGTTCAGCCCCTGTTAGAACTCAGTGGTCTGACTGCAAATCAGCCGTGATCTGTCCTCACAATGGGAGAGGCACTGAGGAGCAATAACAGATGAAAGGGAAAAAATGGGTCCTCACCCAGAGRGTTCATAGTGTTCCCTCAAGTTTTGTTAGCGGTATTCTTAGAGTAGGATCTCTTCCTGTAACAATTTGAGGAACAGAGCACAGACCCACTTCTTGCTGGTTCAAAGAAAATCCTTTATATTCAAAGAACTGTGCTTATCAATATTCTGAACTTTCACGGGCTTTTCCACGGATTGGCTGCCTGCCTGCACAACGCTGCCACCCACAGACCTTCCCAGCCAATCCCATCTCCAATGATCTGGTGTCCACGCGCCCCATTAACCAATCAGAGCTTCACACACGAGGGGAGCGCAGGTCAGTCACACAAGATGCTCCCTGGTCCCATGAGCTGTGGCAGAGTCCCTTCCACACTGGCGGCTGGTGGCCGAAAGTGGGCTGGGGTAAACAAGGTSTGACAGAGGTGAAGGAGCTCATTCTAGAAGGCTTTTCCTTAAGTYCAACATCTTCCTACACAGCTGTTTCCATAATCTGGTTTCCATTTGAATGGTGCCCCTTTATCARCATATGCCAGTAAAATTAATGGCAGTATCTCTCTCTCTGCAATATATTCTGCTAAATCTGTGAAGAGGGTAAAATGTACTCTTTGTGCATATCCAGGCCATACCCCAAATACAGAAAGGATTTGACAGCCAGGATGCGATTTGTAAGCTGAGTAACCCAAGCCTGAATATGTTACCATAGCCAGCAGTAGGTTTTCAAATCTGCGACAGAAATTCAGCAAAAAGATAYTGAATTTTGTAACTTTGTGGAGGGATTCTCTCTACAAGTTATGCCGAGACTATTTCACTGGTAACTGCATGTAAAGTAAGACTTTATAGACTTTGTATGTGTAAGATTCACATATAAAAAAATATGCCAGGACATTTACATTATTTCGTAGATACCACGAAAGAGGGCTAAGGAAGAGAGAACCTGATTTTTTTTTTTTTTTTTTTTTTTTTTTTTTTTTTTTTTTTTTTTTTTTTTTTTTTTTACTGTTAAATTAATTTAAGGAAATTCAAAACTTTCAGTATTGCAGACAACTTACACTGACAAAACAAAAGAATATTGTTTAAATTCCGAGAGAGCAAATTGATCTACCAGCTAAGCTGGCTCATAAATTGCATTTGTAATTTCTGATAAATCATGGCCTACAGGCCTCAGATACTGAGTGATATGAAATAACAGTACATGGTCGTTCATCACTTTCTGTAACTTTCCAATTTTCTTGCAAGCCTTCCTGCTAAACACTGTCCCTTTTCTCTCAAATCAATCAAAGATAATGACAGGCATTGATATAGGTAAATATTTCTACTTTGGTGGAGCAAAATAAATAGTTAATAACCAGAGCTCCTCACAGTTATAAATGTCATCACCTGGCTCTCACAACCTGCTCTTGCAAGGGAAGAGGTGAAATTGAGTTTGCAAAGCAAAGGAAGAGAGAGCATTTACCTGACGAGTTAAAGAAAAAAACTCAGCGTACGAAGGCCTCCATGAAAGCACTGACTGAGCAATGTGCTTGTYGCATGCTGCCTTTACTTAGAGGTTAATTTGATTACAGTAGCGCTCGTTTGTAAGTTGGGATATTTTTCAAAATGTGAACGTATACCAGATCACTGTTTCCTGCACTGCTGGCTCTGCACGTTCAAGCAAAAAGCAGATGCGAAAAAGTGAGTATGAACAAGCTACTGCCAAAATAAGTCAGGGTTCCCAGAGGCTGGGAAAGCAGGCAGAAGCAAGATGGCAGGCCAAGAGAGGAAGATTTCTGCTCTTCCAAGTGAGGAAAGATGAAGGCTCTTGAGCACACAACYTCCCGTGGGGCCAGGTCTGGCCATCAGAAGCTTGGAAACTGGTGTTGGCTTCTACCATGATGATGGAACTAGTGTACATGTGTATGTACCCTTGGTAAATACAGAGCACCGAGTCCCTAGGGAAGGCCATTCCTCCCTGACAGGAGCAGCCTTGCAGCCAAACATAACCACATCTTGCAATAGAGGGCTGACAGTTCCTCTCTTGAAATGTAGGCTTCCAGCACCTTTTAAGCATTACTGAGCTTYGCAGAGGCAACTTCCTAAGACTAATCATCAAACAATTTGACTTCCTGTTCAAGCATTGCCATTACAGTGGTTTCACTTGGTAGTGTATCTGCAGAGGGAGGAGGAGAGAAGTTGTGTGAGCACCTGAGGGTGCAGCCTGGCCCCACAGGGAAGGAAGGCTGGTGCTGTGGGGCCCTGGGAGACGTGGCAGTGCCTGCAGGGGGTGGGGACAAGGCAGTGTGCCCACCATTAGCACCATGCTTCTGGGGATCCTCGTGGTGCTCTKCTTCATCCCCACTGCTGATGAAACAGGTAACAAAAACCACCCATGTTTCAATCTTTTCTCCTATTTTTCCTCTTTTTGATCATTAAAGGGTGGAAGGTCTGGTATCGCTTTGAATTAAGTTTGGACAAGTTGCTCTGCATTTGGATGAAAGGGGAGAGACAGCATGCTCTAAGTCTGCAAATGGATCAACTTCCTATGACCAAGAGGCTAATTTTTCTCCTGCCCCAAGTATCCCTCCAATATGAGACCCAAGAGCTTTCTTTTAATTTGCCTTCTCTCTAGATCCAATCGGAAATTGCATGCATAGGTAGAGGGTTTTTCATTTGACCTACCCCCGGGCTTTACGAGTTCTGCGCACAAATGGCTTTTTGTGGGGGCAGCAGGTCTCAGCAGTCCTGGTGCCAGTGCTTCTCTTGGAGCAGGTTTTCCACACTCCCAAGTCTGTCTCTAAAGCTTCAGGATCCCCCATGGCCTCGCCTGATGTGATGCACTCTTCAGAACTGAGTGCACTGGCATCCTCACAGGACCAGCAAATATAAGGGTCAAAGGCAGAGTTACTTACTGAGCTTGAAAATGGGAAGATGGGACTTGCCAAGTTTCTGATTTTTGCATTTTTTAGTGGTTTACTGATACTAGACATCTAGCTTCTTTTTGAAGACCTTCAGGGGAGAAAAAAATATTTTTGTGATTTTGAAATAGTGAGTYTCAGTGAATCTTCTGGACTCTTCAGTTGTTGTGGCTGAGGGTATTTATCTTGGTGGTGTCTTGCTGATGCAGTGTTCGTGTGTTCAAAGCTAATATGTCTTTCCAATGGGTACATTAAAATGCAAAGCAAGGCAAGGGATGCTAGCTTTTGCTAGGATAATCTTGAGACAGACTATTTTTTAAACTGCTGGCTGTGAACTGTTGTTATTACATCTTCTCCAAATACTGGTATTTTGTATTTTACAGGGAAGTTACAGATAGGAATGAAAATCTGGTTTCCAGCATAAAACTTTTAACATAGAGAACATTTTTAACAGGTTGCCTTTTCTAGTATGAGAGATGCAATTGAGTCTATTTTTCCTTATTTCTGCCTTGTTTTTCCATACTTTTCCTCAGTGAAAGCATTGTAATTTACTCGACACTGATCTACATTTCTTTAAGAGATCATTGGTTTTTTTCTTCCTTGTCTTTTCCCATATTTATAATTCTGTGTTTGCCATATCATAATTATTTCCACAGCAGGCTCCTGGATTATCAAAGAAGACACTTATTCCRGGAGGGGATAAGTATCAGCACTAGGTTAACGGTTCTAAACACATTTCCATGAGGTGTGAACAGCTTTYAAGTGGTGCTTTTGAATTACAGCAAAATAAATACAGTGTGTGGTTCTCAGATGTAAGCATTATGCCATGGCTTTATAGACATAWATACACTTGCTTTGCACGAAGAACTTGTGTTTCTCCAATAGACTCRCCAAGATTGTTCAACTGCTTAAAGAGAAGCACATGAGGTCATTTGCTTCTCAGGGCTCCTATCCTTTCCCCATCTATTTTCTTCACTCTTCGTTTTCAAGATGATTGATCCTTAGTACATGGAAAACATGAAGGCAGGTCAAAACACTGCAGGACTTCCTCATGAAGTGAATTATAAGCCTCAAGTATTTTAGTTTGGGCAAAASAACAGAATTTGTCCTGTTCTGCTGTTGTTAGACTGTACCAGTGACTGCTGCAGGTTGAGTTTAAATCATAGAAAGGGATTTAAAATATTTGTTTAGTCATTTCCCTTTTTCAGAAACACTAACATTTACAATGTTTGTCCTCCTCCCCTTTTTGTTGGCTAAATAATTACCTTGCTGAGGTCTGTCAGAGAGGCAGCTAGATCAAGTGTCTGATATTTTGTGAAATAAGTAACATAAGCAGGTTAYCACTGCAGTATACCACAACTGACCTCATCTTTTTACTACCCACATAACCTTCTGGCTTATGGTCTCTGGGGTTTAAAATCAACCTCTAACCCATTGAGATCACCAGAATACAGAAAATGGATGAGGCAAGGTTAGCTGAGATGAGGATGACATCAACTAATTTTTGTTTTGAAAAAATAAATCACAAACTGCCAAGAAAAACTCCTGTGCTCACACTGGGTTTGATTAAAGCAAGAGTGTCACCTGGCTTTCTGAAGTGCTAGGCTGCCTGCAGTACTCACAGCAAAACAGGAAAGTTTAGCAGAAAGCAGGTCTGTGAGGTAAGGACCAGAAGGAGAGGATCCCCCCAGCTGCACATTAGATACACAGCTGAGTTATTATTTATTATATTTTTATCTTTATTATTTATAATAAATTTCTATTACATTTATATTTATATTATAATATTTATATTATATTTACAATAAATTTATAATTATATATATTATATATTTATTATTATTTATTATCAATTAGATACACAGTTTGAGCTTTAGCTCAAACTAAAGTAAAAGTACCCTTGTACCCTTGTACCTAGGAAAGAAGAGTAAACGTAATTGAACAACAGACCAGCAGCAGCGAAAACAAAATAGCTTTGTTTATAACATACCTGTGTGCCCTTCTGCCTGTGGGTTAAGCAAATTCCTTTCAGGTTTTTCCCTATCCCCCCAGGGAATTAGGTGAGACATTTCTTTCCTGTGCTTACAGAAATCCTATTTTATCTTAGATACCTCACTCAGGAAGATAGCTTCTTGAAGCAACTGGCATTAAAAAAGAAGAGTACTAAATATTTTTAGCAGAATATTTTTTTCCAATAGCTGGTGATGATTCATGGAAAGTTCTGGAGAAAAAAAAAACAAAAAACAACCCACTTCAAAATAGTTATTTTTCCATACTTTGTCAACTCTATTTCACTTTCTTGGGGAATAGAAAAAATAAAACATTTCAATGAGTTTTTGCTTACATCAGGGTTCAATGATCAGAGAGTCAGTATTTTACAGATATTATAGATGAATGGCATTTTGTTTCAYGATGCAAAACCCCCTCACATGTGATTATAAGAAATGTCCAGCACTACAAATAAGCCATAAAAAAGCTTAACAATCATTTAGAGATGTTRCACACCGTTGCATATAGATCCTAAGATCCTAAGAAGGCTTGCAGTCTGTGCAGACTGACTGAAATGATTTTACATTTTTAAATGTCACAGSTTTTTGAAACCATAAACAATGATTTTTCATAACTGCTATTTTCCYGGCTGACTAAGGCCAAGACACAGATATTTATTACTACACAACATGACTGAATACAGCCCTGAAGTGGAAATCATAACACTATTTAGGGGAATGAAAGCACCTACTAAATGTTTCAGAGTTTCACCATTTAACAAACCCAAAGTGACACTTATGAGAAAAACCTGGCTCTGTGAAGGCAAAAGCAGCCTCAGTCCATGTTTGCTCAGAATGGTCTAGATCCTACTAAGAATGTAGTCAAATCCCATTCAGATCACAAGTGAAGTGAGGGATGTTTGGCATTGCTCTGTCTTCCCCATGAAACTAATACACATTTTAGCTTGACTGACTTTCTTAAGTTCAGAAAAACCCCCYAAGTCCAGAGGAGCAGGATGACAGCAGGGCTTGTCTAGCATGCCAGAGGGATAAGCTTGCCTTACCCCTGTTGGCATTGCAGCCCAACCAATTAATGTGGTGCTAATTAGTTCTGATAAATGAAAACAAAAATATCTCCTTAAATTTAGATTTGAACTAGTAGAAYCACTTTGTGAGAATGGATTTCGGTGCTTAGCTTAAATCATGTAGGAGCTGTCTTCATTTAATGATCCACAAATGAGCTTTTTCCTATTGCTCAGCCTGTCTGCATCCCAGCATCAGCAGCTTGGAGCTGGATTATCAAGCCCAGCCTGCAAGACAAGGCAAACAGATTGGACTATAAATCAAGAGGTGAAAGTGCATTGAAGGAATTTCTCATTTTAGGTGGGTGTATCAAAAGAGACTCGTTGCAAATTAGCACAGTATCATGGCAGGGAGATAAATAGTCCAGAGCTGCAGTTTAATAGTGGAGCTCAAGGCRTGAAGCTCAGGTCTAAATATCAGAAATACAAGTTAGCTGATGACAGCTAAAGAGATGGAGGTAAGGATCTGCARAAGACTCCAAGTAACATCTGAAGGTAGTCCTCCAGGATGAGATTTTCAGTGTTCTTTGACTTTCCCCCTGGCCACAGTGAAAATGTGATCATGCTGAGGAATAAATAACMATTAGTTTTCTGTGAGTACTTGCAATGAAAGAGGCAAGCACCTTTCTGAAGTGTCAGGCTTCTCTGTGTCCTGGGACCCGATTTTGGTGTCGATTCTGAGACAGAAAAGGTGTCCCCTGAAGGTGTATTCAGTCTGTGACAACCAAGGTTTAGTGGTGCACAAACACTGCAAATCAGTAGAATAACTGTCTCAAGTGAGATGTGTAAAATTCTACTGTGCTAAATTGTCAAACTGCAGAYTTGCAAATTGCCATTTAGGTCAAAGATCTGGCCAACAAAAATATGATCAAATACATTGTCTAAAGGGGTGGAATCCAAACCCCACCCCTTAATAAAATGCCTTATAAGCCTATGCAAGAACTTTTGTCAGAAAATGCTGATTTGATGAAACTGAATTGTTTTGCTGAAATGTCTTCCTTTCGATGAAAATTCACCACAGGCACCACCTCAACTAAAGACTTGCCTTCTCTGTTCTTTGCCACTCTGTGCTAGGATTCCAAGATCCTTGTCTCTTTCTGCTGAAAAGCCTGGAAATGCTCATCCTTCATCCAAAGGTTCACAGTGTTTGGGTCCCTGCAAACATGGGATTTCAGAGCTGTTATGAGGTCTCCTCCACCCTCCACACCCCCCCAAACAATGCTGAACAGAGGGACACAAGGAGGATGGACTACAATCTTTCTTTGCTAAAGATGAGGAAGTAGAGCCTCACATCTCCCCTTGCTTGAAGCCAGGGCTGGTAAATGAGAYTTTCAATGAGAAAATTAACAACTTGAGCATTTTCATGGGCTCTGCTTGTAACTGGAAAATCTGCTAGACACAGGTTGTTTTTACTGCCTACACCCTACCACTAGTCCTGGCCATCTCACGCATGTCTTTGTGTTTACTCCCTGGACCACATTCATGCCAAAGGAGTATCCTACTCAAGAGGCCGGGGTACATAATCTTGTGCAGGTGTGAATACACTAAATGTCATTTTATCCTAAATATCATTAGACACAATTTTCTGGGCATTCTGGATCTGGCCTCCTTCCCACTTCATTTCYCATACTGGCCTTTTTGAAGTCTTGCCACATGGATTAAGTAGAAAAAATCTAGGTTTGCACCACATTTTCAGGACAAGAGGAAAAAATGATCATTCTAACAGTGATTCTAGCCACAGTGATTCCCAGGGATCTGCAAAAGACTATCCAGACCTCATATGAGCTGAGCTTGCATACAGACTTAAGCAGTTATACAAAAACTTTGGCAGGTCTCTAGCTTAAAAGCCAAAACTCCCTTCCTCTTACTTAGGGGTCATAATTTGAAAAGTAGGGCCTCATTTGTACAGGACAACTTTTCTTGGGAGAAACCGCCTTTCTGCATAGATCTTGCAGTGTTTCATTGTTTGGCAGATGGTAGCACAGAGGTCTACATGTCAGAAAACATTTCCTGTTTATGAATCAGTCTGGTCAATTCAAATTCAATTATACATTCATGTGACATGCTTTTTTGCAGGCCATTCAAGTGCTAAGTGCCAATGCAATGTCAAATTAGTCAGCTCCTGTGTCCTTTGGGAGATTAAGAATCTACTACAGCTGCTAGCTAGAGAAATTACTTATTTTACATTACAATGATAGGAGTTTATATTTTTAGTGTTCGTTGCCCAAGGTCCAAACTTTTAAAATGGTACAGCAAATCCACCTGCAAACTCTTCAGGATTCCTTGAATTAAAAAGCAAATCTATAAATAATATTCTCTTATCTGACTGCAGGGTCAATTCATAGTATTTTCACTTCATAATGTTCCCTGGGAAACTGCTTGCTAAGTAAAGGATAGACTTAGATGGCCTTATGTATAGACACATGGAGACAGATGCAGGCTAGGCTTCTGAGCCGTGATGATCTTCATCATGGGCCACTGTCTGTACTAGTGTTCTGATTCTGAAGAAAAACACTCTTCATCTCATAGTTTCCCCTAGTAACTATGTAATTATTTATATACAGGTGGATTCTCCTGTGAGAAACTGTTTCTGTAAATGGGTGGTTTTTTACTTCCTGGTAGGGAGTGTCATCAGGGGAGAGGAGACATGGATAAGAGTTGCATGGGAGGATGTGTGGTTCTGAAGTCTYATACTGTATTTTATAAACAAGACCTTTTCTCACTTTCTCCCTCCCTTCYAGAAAACAAGATTTTAGTGGCTCAGCATCCTTTGCTCACTGTARTTAACCAAACTGCAACTCTAGTTTGCAACTACACATACAATGGGACAGGGAAGGAATTTCGAGCTTCACTACACAAAGGAACAGACAGTTCAGTTGAAGTTTGCTTTATTTCATGGAACACAACCAAAATTAGCAGCAATTCAAGCAAAGAATTCAACTGCCAGGGGGATCGTCATAAAAACAAAGTCATCTTCAGTCTTTGGAACATGAATGCCAACCAAACTGACATCTACTTCTGCAAAATTGAGGTCATGTATCCACCCCCATACGTCTACAGTGAGAAGAGCAATGGGACTGTCATTCATGTGAAAGGTAAGCTGAGAAATCTCTGTAGCCCAGTATCCTCCCTATACACACTCCCTACATAATGGCTGGAGGCAGTTTGTTTCCTTAAAAAAAGAAAGGATTGCCCAGTAAAATGACATGCCTGCTTCAGAATTCCTGAAGAAGAGATCTTAAAATGATGATTAATACAAATGTCACATTGGAACAAGAAGTAAATAAGCAGACATTGGTGATTTTGCTTTCATGTACTTAAAGTTTTCTTTGCTCTTTTCTTAAAGAGATACCTACCCAAACACAAGAACCTCAGTCTGCAATTCCTTTGTGGATTCTGGCAACAGTGATTGGAATTTTTGCACTCTACAGTATGCTAATAACTGCAGTTTTTATTAATTACTGGGTAAGAAACTAGTACTTTCCTTTGCGCTATATGGTCTTTGTCCCTAGTTCATTTCTCAGGCTATGCTTGCTGTATTCACCACTAASTCACTGACACCCCTTCAGTACAGGATGACAATGTTCATCCTAGCTATGTATGCACACCCRTGGTGTACCCCAAAAGAGCTGAAACTCCAGATGCTTTCCAGGTGGGCAGTTGGGTCTCTGCAGTAGAGTCCTAAAGCAAACAGTGATGCCACAGTGCTGGCAGTGCCCTGCACACCAGCAACACTGGGACACTGTCTCTGCCTCTGCCAGTTGAACCTGCTGGGGAAATCTAGAACTACACGCATTTCTGRCAAAATTGTTTGAGACTATTCTGATAGGAGCTCACCTACAATAAAACAATCTATAGAAAGCCCTCAGCTGACCCAGGACCATCTGCACTGGTGTCTTATACCTATCCAGCAAGCCTCTTTATACCTCTTAAACAAGCACTATTTCTGGCAGCTTGACTGCAAGGGAATTGAAGCTCCCGGATTTCAGTAGTCACTTGTCTGTACAACAACACTAAGAAAGCTGAGACAGCCTTGTGGGTCATTATTTTTGCTTTCTAATTTCTCTGGAGAATTGACTGGCCCAAGTCACACACAGTTCTCCTGCTGAAGTGAAAAAAGAGATGCATGATGCAGGGGCAGCAGAAGATTTTCCTTGAAACATCTTAAGACTGTGATCTCCAGAGCCAATTTACACTACTTATTCCATGTAAGAAATACTTGAACATAGAGAACTCATTTCCTTGCACTCTCACTTTCCCCTCTATCTTTTTTGTTAAATAGTGATTTTCCACAACAATTATGAGGTAGCCTGTATAAAGAGTCCAGAGTCCCTGCCAGGTTAAATATTGCATGTGTACAGAAAGCCACTGTCATTGCTAGCTGAAGCTTGAGATTTGCTAAGTGTTTCACAAAAGAACACTTTTTCAATCTTTGGCTATTTTTAATGGAAAATATCAGAGGGCACTGCCGTAGGAAACTACAAAGTCAGGTTAAGTGGTTCTTCTTTATGCCCTATTGTAGAGGCTGACTGAGGAGAGCTGAGAGGATTCCAGCAAAACGCTGCTGGTGTTACAGTGCTGTGCTACTGTGGCTGTGCCACAGATGAGATGCTATAGCATCTCAAATCCATCATTTACAATCTGAACCATTTTCTCTGCACTATATTCATTTGCTACCTAATGGCTACACACTTTGCTACTAACATGTCTGYCCCCAGCAAGAGTGACAAGGCTGCATTGCCATGTATGTTATGTATGTTGTTTGCTGCATCAGTTTTTACCTGTTGTTATTACTGCTTGCAGTATTCTTCAGATAATATGTATTTTCATTGTGGATGTATTTAGAGAGTTGTTGAATGTAAATACAGCTGCCTAGAGGACATTGTGAATTGTAAAATAAAAGGTCCTAATTGTGATACTCAACAGACATTAAGTAATGTCTGAGACAAGCCTGATCAGTTCCTGAAAGCAGCTAAAGATTTGTCTTTTTTCATACACTTCTGCCTTCCCTGAAGGAAAACTGCTTTCCATTGCAAAAGTAGCAGTCTTTGATCCTGTAACAGCCCAACATTCACTCATGCTAGCAAAATGTCTTTCTCCCATACAAAAGTACYTCTTAGGTGAATTAGAAATCCTGTATTATGGAGATGAACACACAAAGACAAAGCTTTTGTATCTAATGCTTTACATGCACTGACTGCATTATGTGGCTTAAGCAGTATGCAACTTACATTCAACACTTGGCATATATATAAAATTAATATTAAAAAGCTTAAAATATTCCATAGTAACTGGTCCACTCTGCACATACAACATAATTCAACCATCAGATTTTCTAATGCAAACCTCCTCSAATTCCACTGCATCATATGCATGTATACTGCAGCATATGCAACTATTTCTGTACATGGGAAGGAAATTTCGGTAAAAGGAGATTACAAAAGAAGATAAGATCAGTGTGAAGGAAAAAGCATGGAAGCACTTTACTTACCCTGATCAATAAAGCCTTAAGCTATGTAAAAAAMACCGACCTTGTGCACAGTGTGCAGCAGTCAGAGGCTGAAATGTTGCTATAGCCACAAATTTTGTCCGTGATTTTAGGCAAATTATTTCACCTGTCTTCTGCTACTTTTATTCTTGAAAGAGCCGATGCTTCCCTTGTCTCACAGAGGCACTATAAGCAGGAATTCAGCAGTGGAAATAAGATTTTTGAGACCCAGATAGGAAGACATAAAAGATTAACATCAGCTCTATTTTTTTCATCCCTTGAACGAAGGTTCAGAACAACATATGCATTGTGTCTTACTGCTGTAAATGGTAGGAAAACGATTATACACATAGTTCGGGCTGATTTTTCCTGCTCTTATTCTGTTTGAGGTAAGCTAATTTTTCTTTTCCTCCTGATAAATGAGRACAGCCTTCACAGCTCAGACTCTATTGTTTCTGCTGAATCATTCCACAGATGAGAGAGGCATGATGATGGTGAGAGGCATCAGTTTGTATCCTTGGTGTGTAGCATTCCTTTACCTGAAGAGCTAACACTGTAAATCTCTCACYAGATAAGATGGAGACTTACTTTCAGGTTGGGCAAATTCCATAGATTATTCGAAGAGAACATGTGTTCTACTTCTTTTGTAAATATATTTAAACCTGAAGCTGCCTTATGAATATGCTTACTTCCCTGAACAAGGACGTAGGGCCAGAACTGTCAGCAGCCAACATGGGGGTTTTCACAGTTCTCTTCACCCTTCTCCCACAGCAAAAATCCAAAAAGAATATCTACCATCAGAGCGACTACATGAACATGACTCCCCGGCACGCACCGTACCAGAAGAACAAGGGTTACCCGCCCTATGCACCAACTCGAGATTACACCGCATATCGGTCATGGCAGCCCTGATATCACCAGCGACCCACCAGGAGCCCTGTGTGCTTCTAGAGGTCAGTTGCTCTTGGGCGTGGAAAGACAGCCTCTCATTTTCTCATTGTGTTTGTTGCTATTGATCACGGACACTTACACCATAGTGTTACCTAAACTTTGTTATATGAAAAGAAAATCCAGACCAACAAACAAATATAAAAAGGGGGGGCATAGGGGGGGAAGTAAAGGAAGAATTTTTCTCTATGATGGCTGAAAATGAGGCCCATCTTGTGTTGAGGGTTGTCAGCAGGTAAGATGGAAAAATGGCATCAGACTTCAGATATGGGTCTCTTCCTAACACTTGTGGTTTTACTCAGAAGCAGAATGTCTGGTCTTTTCCAACAACTACTGCCTTAAATTTAATCCTTTATTTGCTTCCCTGTATGTGTAATCCWAAAATTGTTGCTGTTAAACCTGGCAAAATATAAAAAGTAATCTTTTTTCCTCTACAAGACCAGGACAGAGTTTCAAGTTCAAAACACATGCTTAAAACAAAGAGGAAAAGATCAGTCAGAAGGCATCCAAGTATTAAACTATAGAACAAATAATCTGCCAGGACAAATCAAGGTGATAGAAAACTAGTAAACCTTCAACATGTGAGTCCTCAGACTGGACACTTTGTAAAAGTTCCTAAGGCCATCTGGAGTCATGGCCAAGCAACTCCACAGATTGAGAAAGCAATCAGCCTGAAGACAAAATCAAGCCGGATAGGAAGAAAGATCTGTCTTTGTCATGAACACCCCCAATTTCTGTTTTGTTCGCCTTCTGCTTCAAGGGRATGCAAAGTCATATATGAAGCATTAGAAGACAGAGAGATCAGATTTTGAAAAGATTTTTACCTTTATGTTTGAATTTTGTWTCTATCCAGAAGATACTCTCCTGAGTCCTCCTGAAAATTCATACACATCTTCTGGCACAGAGRTCATACCAGAGCTCTTTCAAAAATCTAGGGTGACTTAAGAGCAACTAAAGATCACTTGAATTTTTTTCCCACAAGTGTGCAAATTTTGGGGTGTGAGAGGATTCCTCATTTCCAGCATAGTGAGTTGAACCTGCAAGTGCTCAGTCATCTGCAGGATCTGCTCTGGGTGCTTTGAAGAACTTAGTGTTATCTGGAAGTTACTTTCTTTCTTAAGATGTTTTCAGGACTGCTCCATAACAGAGTAGGACAAAATCTTTAGCAAAACCTGATTCATTCTTTCCGTCTGGTATGTTTACAATAAAAGGACATCCTGAATTTTAATTGGGGTTGTCATGGCATAAAATTTCTTTTCATACTGAGGAGACAAGGTTTGTTTTATAGAGACTACTAAATAAACAATTAAAAGAAAGAAAAAAAACACATTTCCACCTTGAAATAAAATGTGGATTGTACGACATCTAATTTCCTTCAAACTGGRATAAGGATATTCTTTCCCTCTTTGAGGGGACAGGACAAAAGTAGAGATGTGGGAGCTTGGCAACAATMTGTTTTGATGTCTTAAGACAAGAAAACAACTTTGGCACTTCCAAATTGGAAGTTTTATTTGAGTTTGCTGACTGGGCCCCAAACCTTCCATTCTGAGACTKATGTCACCATGAACCATGTTCCTGGAGGGTGCTGTGCCACCTCTGAGCACTGATGAGGTGTCCCCTGTCCCCAGCCAAGCACAGCAGAGCCCTGATGGCAATAGTGAACAGCATGGAAATGCAACAGCAGGCCCTGAGAGCCTGGGTCTGGTTTAGTTAAGCAAACTCAAAACATTATGATTGAACTGAAGAACTTCAAAACCAAGTCCTACTTCTTTCTTCTCCTTTCCCCTCACCACATGCACAAACACACCAAGGCYGACGTTTTTCTACATGAAATTTTTACTCTCTTTTCCTGAAAAGCCTGTCACTGCACTTTTGCATTACATCTGAAGCAGCAAGGGACATGTGCACAGAGCAGAGTAGAGGGAGCCAGGCAGGACATGTGGCACTAGCTCCATGGTCCCAGCCTGGCYCTCCTTGCTGCCACTGACTGGGGCAATGCTCATGCCTTGCCACCTCCCTCCTCACTTGGAGGGGAGCTATAAATGATCCTGTGCTGGGGCATCCAGACACTCCCAGCAGAGAGCAGCAGGCTGAGCACAGATCTCTGTTAGGGTGTGGCACTGTCTCACCAAGCTCCAGTGGTGTCCTTGTGTAATGTCACAATATATGATCACATTGTGCTGTGGAAAATCCTACCTTCTAGTGCAAGTATAAGGGGAGATGACAAATGGGTATCAAACCCACAAAAAGAAAATGTTCTTTGCATAAACTGTATATATACATATTTAGGTATAGATGCATCTATTTCATTACATCTATATTCCCTAGAGTTTTATTATACTTTTTGCAATCTCCTTTTAAAATTATTAACTAGATACAGTAAATTAAATCTTGAATGAATGTATTAGGCCTGAGGCTAGTCAGAAGAAAGTGTTACTTTCTAAAGCAAATATTGATATAATTTGCTTTACTTCCCCTACCACTTTTGTACTTTCCATATTTAAAACATACTGATAGCTCCCAGGACACAATACTGGAAAGAAAGTCCTGAAACATCTGCAACAAGTATTCATTTGAATGACCAAAAAGGAAGAGGGAAATATCCTAAACATAAAATGAAAAAAAGTGAGGAGAATCAGGACACAAGAAGCCCCAGCACTGTGTTAAAATGGACGTTGCTGATATGTTAAAGCTCTGTAGGGACATGAACTACAGACTGTTAGAGATGAAATACCAGTAAATTCCTTTTATCCACCACAGTAAAGGACTAAAATAAAGTGTTTGCAGAGAAGCAAGCCAGTTAAGCCTTCTCTGGCTTGCATATGTGAATTAGCATATTCGACAAACAGCAATCCTAATTTATTCCATTTGGTTTTAGGCAATGCAAAACATGCCAGAACAGCCCTGTCCCTCCCTGGCCCTGCCTTTGGAGTCTATATGCAATTAGGGGATGATGTCCTGCTGCTATAGCTCTGACCTKAGAAACTGTCCCTCATGGAGAGCAGAGGTAGCTCAATTGGGTTTTCTGCCTTACACACAGGTTTTAATTCAAATGCAAATATAATCCTGCCAAAGAGTGATTTAATTTTTCATCCTCCATTCCCCCACTGTTGGGTCTCAGTGTCAAATGAACATCTGATCTGCAGTCATCACATCTGAACAGCAATCAACGTMTATTGCAAGGGGTCAACCAAGGGTTGTGCAGCTCCAGCCCCYTGCATGTCCCCTGATTCCTGCTCTGCATGTCTCCAGCACAACACAACAGCCTGGCTTTTCTTTGCTTCTAGGAACCAAAGCTCTAGGAGACAAATGCTGAGGAGGTAGCCTATGTTATCTCTGCAGTGTCTTGAGCCTTCGCTGTTGGGGTGGTCAGACTTACTAAAACCAAAAGTCTTGGACATTCCTTCTAGTTTRAATATTGCAAATTCCAATAATCTTCTTCTGTATAACTTTTTTTTTTTTTCAAAATACTTCCTATTTTTTTTTGTAGCTTTAAACGTGAACTCTGCATCTCCGCCAAACGATATCATATCTTCCTTCTTTCTGCATCATCTTTTTCCTTTCATTTCTATTCCAGACTCGGCAGTTCAAGAATCCATCCTATTTGTTAATCTTTAACACCATTGTGCAGCCTTCCACATGGGCCCCTTCCTGACTAGTTATTTGCTTCACAAAGAATGTCTTGTATGCCACGTTCTTTCTCAGCTTGGGATAAGGAGTTACCATAGGAGATTGAAGCCATGTGGTGATTGGATAGGTACATGTTTTCTGTTTGAAGGATTTTGGGGGTCTTTCATCCCTTTAATTTTTCCCATCATCTTCAGATTTTCAGTTGTGCCGAACAGCCACGTGGGGATCCCACACACCACATGCTTTCCACAGTGCATTAACTTCTGTACATTTCATTTCCTGTGCATAGCAAGCTCTTGGCTATTGCCAAGTTCATTTTACATGCAAGACATGCTCAGACAGCAGAAGCAACTCTGGCTGCTGATGGTATGTTTGACTAATAAAAACATGGTACAAAAAGCTTGAGTTTTAGCACACAGGCGAAGGCTTCAGAGCTAAAGATCAAATCTTTCCACTTGCAGCAAGGCTTTTGCTGTGTGACTGGAAAATGCGTTACGCAAGATGAATCACAGGCCAAGGCATAATTTTGTTAGTCACTCATACTAACCAGAAAACAGGTTATGGTGATGAGAAGAGGATCAGCTTTGTTAAGGTCTAGYAAAGACTGGGAAAGCCTGAAAACCGGCACCAGGCAGTAATTTGTAGCCAAAGTCAGTGTCTTTAAGTGGCTGTGAGAGGGAAACTAGCTGCTTATCTTGAAGCAAAAGGATTGTACTTCACAATTAGGTGCTTTTGTTAGAGCATCACATTACAGTSTGTTACTATTCCAGCCCCAAGGGCATGCAGATAGTACGATGTGGCCAATTTGGCTGACAAAGTATTAGGAGGCTGCCAATTTCATATAAACCCATTTGCAAAGAAACAAAAAGTTGAATGGTCTCAAATTAATGGTGGGGG